GCAGTCCTGTGTTCCTCAGCCTCTCCCAGACTCTAGAGTGAATCCTAACCTTATTCCTCCTGGACCTGTGCTTGAGAAAGGGGGGAAGGGGCGGTGTGGGACAGTGTCCCTGGGTCTCCTGTAAAGCGAACCACCAACCTCCTCCAAAGGCCCACACTAAATCCCTCTACGTTCACCCAGACCCATGTGAGCACTCACACTTACCCACGTTCCCGCTCGTGCATTCAAGCACGTACACACCCACGCGCTCTAACCACTCTCCCCGACTCACATATTCATACACACCTGTTTACAGACTCACACACACACCCCTACACACACACACAAAACTGTACACACCATATCAACTTGCACATATTATACACATGCACACAACCACAATTGTACACTCCCATCTGTGTGTTTACACGCTGATGCACACCCTCACAGCAGAGGATTAGAGCAGTTGCCCCCTCCCTGGACCCTGTGCTCTCCAGCAGGCACTCCCAGGCCAGGCTGGGTCCACGACCCCAGAAACATTCAGAGCAGAGGCGACACTGTGGCATCCACTCCTTGCTCTTGCCTCTTTCAGAGCCTGCCCACTGCCCCTGATAGGCTCATCCCTGCATTGTCTGAGTCGGATACAAAATGACCCATCTGCTTGAGGCTGATGGGAATTTCCCAGAGTCCCTCTCTCTCGACATCCCAGGAGTATGTGGGGTCGAGAAAGACCTGGACATGGGGGAGGGGAGTTCCAACAGCAGGGCATAGAGAGGGCTGACCGGGTCCTGTGAGTGGTGGACGAGCCTAGGCTTCCTTGGGGTGGTCTCTCTTATCGCCTCAGAGAACTGGGACCACAGGTCTCCTAAGGACCATTTCACCAGATGCCAGGACACCTTGGGGCACATCTGGCCCAGCACATCAAGCCTCGCAGTGTCCTACAAATATGTCCTCAGGCCCTCTGCTGGTCTGGGACCAGGTGGCACTGGCCTGCCCCAAACAGAGCTGCTGCCACCAGTGGCCAACCGTGCTGGGCCTGGCCGCAGACTTGGTTCCTGACCACACAGAAAAGAGAGTTGACAGCTTGAGGCGGCAACCAATGTACGGGCTCTGGAAACTGGGCAAGGGACAGAACCCCTTGATCATGGCCTCACCTGTACCAGGGAACAAAGTGGTGCCGGCACATACTGGGACCTCTACGAACACAGGCACGTCAACACAATTCCTAGGTAGAGGGAGACAGTGAAAGCTCTGGAAGGGCTACAGGACGACTCCTCCATGGGGTGCGGGGTGGGGGGTGACTACAGGTGCACTGGGGACACCAGGCAGGAGGGAGGCTGCCTGGTGCTGATGCTCGTGGCTCCTGCAGCCTACACGTGCCACGCCTCTCATGCCAGGCTCTCAGCCTCTCCATACCAGGCATTCTCGACCCCTGCCAGGGGTAAGCAGGCCCCGCCCACCTGGATGCCCAGACTGGGCTGGCAGGGCCAGCAGTGGTGTCAGTTCTGGAGGCCGGGGCCCGGGCTCACGTCCAAAGCATGCCACGGCTGGGCATCCGGTGTTGGCAGGTCCCCCTCCTGCAGCGGATGCTTCAGGGTGCCGCTCCATGACCCGCTCCGTGACCCAGACACTCATTCCCAGCTGCCAGGAGCACCGGCCATGGCCGGCCCACAGCTGAAATCCCCCTCCAAGGAGTCACCTTCAGTGGACAAGAGCCGCCTTGCCAAAAATCATACTCTTTCCCCGGACAGGGTGGTCTATGTGTTCAGTGACAGGTAAATGGCCTCCCCCGTGTTCATTTAAGCTATGTCCGGAGGGCCCTCTCGGCACTGGGCTTCAGTGGGAGCCCCAGCAGTCTCTGTTGCAAACCCTTGCCCCTCACAGGTGTTGATCCCAAGGCATGTCTCAGTATACCCTGGCAGGCAAATCCAGGACCCCCCCCCACGTTCTCAACCCAGCTCGGCATCCTGAACAAGGACCTTGGAATCAAAGGGTGGTGCGAGCAGAGGCCTGGACACATGAGTGCTCAGGCCTGGACCTAGTCCACAGGGACACATGTATTCACGTCTGTATGTTCTGCTTCATGTCTGTCCCACTGCCCTGTGCTCTGGGGAAGGAGCCCCTACGGGGAAAGCCGGCTGCCAGTCCTTCTCTTTCCTCTTCGTCCGAGCCCTAGAGAAATGGAAATCAACTGCAAGTGTGGACAGGTGACTAGGTGTGGATGGATGTCTGGACCACCCCCATGGCTGTGGACCTCCCTCTAGGACCTGAGGGGGTAAGATCCTGACCAACAGCAGGAGTCCCCATCAGCTACCCTGGAATCCTCAACTCAGCAGGCCAGTTCCTGGGCTTTGGGGAGCCTGGATGGGCCTGGCACCAGCCCCTGGCTATTTGGGGAGGAGAAGGAAGTGGGCCAGGCCAGCCGGGGGCCTGAAGTCACTAGCTATTTCCAAGGCAGCTGCCTGTCCCTGTGTCTCAGTGCATGGCAAGGGGTCCCGTAAAGTGCCTCGGGCCAAGGCTCAGCAGCACTGGCGGCACAGCCCCAGAAAAGGAGGATGCAGCCCCCATACGTCTCCTTGGGCTGCCTTCTCTTCCCAAGGGGGCTCTGATCCCCCTGCCCTGCCCAGAACCCGTCAGATTCAGAGCGCCTTGGAGGCCACTTGGGATGCCAGAACCTCCAAGAAGCTGCCAGAGGGCTGGCCCTCTGCTATCTGCCGCGGAGTCCACTGGGCCCTGACCCAACTCTCCCTTCACCAGCGTCAGCATCCCTCCATCAGAGAAAAGGACACTGAGCTAGTGTGCTGGGTGCTCTGCAAGAGTGCTGCTGCTGCAACTGTGGCCTCTGTGCTGTCCCTTCAGGGCTTTAGTCATGGCCCCTCCGTGGGCTGGCCCAGCCCCAGCACCGACTCCTTTCAAAGCATGGAGGGTGTCCTCAACTCCATCTCGCACCGCACTGACAGCCTCCAGCACGTCTACCGGCCCAGCAGCAAGGCACGCTGAGGACAGATAAGGCCCTAGGACCCTCCTCCCACCGGGACCACCTTCTCTGACCCCCAGCCAGCCTGCCCAGCAGGCCACAGTGGGAATGCTCAGCCCACCACTTCCAGCCTGCGGTGGGGCCTCAGACCACTAACCAGGAAATGGGGGCGGGCCGGTGGAGGGCCCACCCTGGAGAGGTTTCGCAAGCCCCTGCACTCAGGCTGAAACATCTGGAGAAGTACACTGCTGGCACCGGTCCTGCCTCCTCCTCCTGGGGGCCAGGGCTACGCTGGAGCCTCTCTCTCCTCATCCTCAAGGTGGGGATAAAACACCCCTTCGGGAACAAGCAGGCTCCTCCCCGATTTCTATAAGGACCATGAGCCATTTGTAAAACGAGAATAAAAATTAATACAAATGGCATCCACCCTGCCCCGGCCCTCTCCGGGAGGGGAGGAGGGGGCCCAGCTGAGGCCTCACTTTCCCTCCTGGAGAGAGGGAGGTTGGAAAGGGAGGAGAGAAGGGGGACTGGACACAAAGGAGGGCAGGAAGGGGGAGTTATTGTTTGGGCAGAATGGCTGCAGGGGGTAAGGAGGAAAGAAACGGGTGGGAGTCACATCTAAGCCTGCCTTACAAGCATGGATTTATGACACACTGCCCACCCCCGGAAGGAAGCGGCACATAGTGCCACAAACAGCTGGGTGGCTTCCAGCAGGCAGCTGGAAGGCTGCAGCCCTTCCCTCCCCAGGAAGTCCTGATGGGAGCCCTGAGGGGAGGGGGCCAGCAGTACTGCTGGCCCAGGGCCCAGGCTGAAGTTCAGCTCCTGGGCTGTTCAGAGGAGGGGCCTAGCTGGAGACCAGAGTCCTCCCAGCTGGACTGACCCTGTGCTCATCTGAAGCCTTTTCACATGCACATGGCCCATCCGGGCACTTCCCACCTGACATCATCCTATGCCCAGTCGCTGAGGCCCCACAGGTACCCCCTTCCAGGGCCAGGGTCACAGAAATCAAAGCGTAGACGGTGCTCCTCAAGGGTTTTTCCAGAGTGGGTGGTACAGGAGGGTGGGACTGTGCCAGCCACAGCAAAGGGGACCTGCAGGGGAAGAGACCCTAGAGCTACAGAGTGTGTGTGTGTGGGGGGGGGGGGGGGTGGTATTCTGCTGGGTGTTGAAGCCCGTACCCTCCTGGTCCACTGAGCCACAGGAGCCGGCAGTGTGCCCCTCCCCGCCATGGTTGTCCCCAGCCAACAGCCCCTGTGCTTGAACACTTCCCACTCATGGCCCTTCCTTCCTCTGGATCAGGCACTGCCCTCCCCACATTCCCCTCCCCTCCTCTTCTGGACTCCAATCCGACTTGAAAGGTTACAGGCAGGGTGAGCAACATCAGAGGTGGAGGGCCGCACGTTCCCCATACGGCCCCCCAGCCGCCGCCCTTCCCGGCTGCAGGCTGCAAGCGCAAGCCGGGTGTTCCCGGGTCCCCAAAGTCCTAGTCCCGGCCTCAGCCTCTAGAGGAGACTGGCCGTGATCCAGCAAGCCCGTTCCAGGGCGTGGGCAGGCTCCTCTGGGCATCTTTGGGCGGCAGAAGGGTTGGAGGCTACACTGCAGACAGTATTCTCAGACCCGCTAGCGATGATGACCCCCGCAGGGGCTTCCGGATACGCCTGGCGTCCGCTTCCTGGACGGTCTTCCTGGCCCACTCCCCATGTCCTCTCCCCACAAATGCCCCCCCCCCCCCGGAGGTGTGGAGCAAGTAACACCCCTCCCCCGTCCAGGAAGCGCATTCCGAGGACCGGGACTCAGCCACCACCTCCCTAAGGCGCACTCCGCATCACCCCACCCCCCAACCGGGGCCCCTCGAGGGCCAGGAAGACACAGGACGGACCAGTCCTCTTGGGAGTCTGGCTACTGGCTGGCGGCCGTGCACGGACCACGGTGCACACGGGGGCGGGAGGCCGCTCACTGGGAGAGGCACCAGGCTGCTGGGGTGCTCGCCCCAATCCCAGACGCCTTCTCCCGGGTCTCACGCCACGAGAGTCCCAGCCGCCCCGGGCCTATGTCCAGGATGGGCGGAGGCCCCCTGGCTCCTCCTCCGCGGGCGGATCCGCGCCGCGCTCGCCGCCACTGCGCCGGGCTTCCGTCCTCCCGCGCGCAGGCGCCGGCGGCACTTCCGGGGTCGCCTCGGCGGGGCGGGTGGGCTCCACGCGCTGGGGGTCCCCACGCCCGGAACCCCGGCCCCAGCCGCGGGATGCCCGCGCGCGGGGCGGGCCAGGTGAGTGTGCGCCCACGTGAGCGCGCTTCTCGCTCCGCGCGCGGCTGCCTCGCGCTACGGCCGAGCAACGGTCTCCGGGGCGATCATTCCCCCCCCTCCCCCGCCCCCCGGAGTCGTTCAGCCGGCGGACCGCTGAGCGAGAACCCGGGGGAAACCAGTAACGCGGGCCTCACTTTCCAGACAGGCGCCCACCGGTGTGTTGGCCCTGGCTTGGCTGCCGCATCTGCCAGTAGAAAAGCTGAGGCCCGGCCGAGGTCGCCAGTGAAGTCTGGTTGGAGACCCCGACACCGGTTTCTTGGTTAAATGTGCACTCAGACCCAGCTCAGACATTCCCTCCCCAGGGGCCGGCCTGCTACAGAAATGACCCTGGCTTGGCCCAGGGGGCCACTTTCTCACGCTCCTCGCTTCAGTGCCCGTCACAGCCGGATAAATGGTCTCTCTATACTTACTAACCTCGTGTTTGCCCACGTTGTGATGGAGGGCTGGTGGGCACCCACATCCAGGCCAGGCTGTTTCCTGCCCTCCGCCGGGCGGACCTACTCTGACAAGAGACCCTTGTCCCCAGGTTTTGCCTGGAGACATCCCAGGTGGAGGGTGTTTCTTTTTAATCTTTTAAAGTAGATGTATTTATTTATTTATTTTTTAACATTTATTTATTTTTGAGACAGAGAGAGACAGAGCATGAATGGGGGAGGGGCAGAGAGAGAGGGAGACACAGAATCGGAAGCAGGCTCGAGGCTCTGAGCCATCAGCCCAGAGCCCGACGCGGGGCTCAAACTCACGGACCGTGAGATCGTGACCTGAGCTGAAGTCGGACGCCCAACCAACTGAGCCACCCAGGCGCCCCTAGATGTATTTATTTTGAGAGAGAGAGAGTGAGAGCGAGGCGGGGAGGGGCGGAGAGGAGGAGAGGGAGGCATGCAAGCAGGCTCCAGGGTGTCAGCTCTGAGCCTGCGGGGGCGGGGTCTCGATCTCTTGGAACCGTGAGATCCTGACCTGAGCCACCCAGGCGCCCGAGGGCGTTTCTTCCTAACATTCTTTGAGTGCTTGCTGTATGCCAGCCGACTGCATACCTGACTTCTCTCATTTTATCCTCGTAACTTTGTGTGGCAGATATTGGTTACTTTTCTACAGATGAGGAAACAGAAGCACAGCCACTTTAGGTGATTTTCTGGGGCCCCTTGTTCAGGGAACCGTCATTTCTAACCGGTGCCGGGGAAGCATGTGAGGTGCCCACGTACAAAGTTTGAGGCAGTGCTCACTCTTGGGTGCAACAGCAGGGGCACCCCGCTACTTAGCGCTGGGCCAGTCCATCACCACAGAGGCCTGTGAGGCAGGTTCCGGTTCTAGGTCTCTGATGGGGAAACCGAGGCCTCTCTCTCAGCCTCTGTCCCTGTGCAGCTTTATGAGTCCCTCCCCACCCAGGGTGGACCAGTGCTGACCCAGAATGACCCAAGTGCCATGAGGCAGGCAGGGGGCCAAACTCCCAAGTGGCAGCGGCCCAGCGCCTGAGCCCATGGCGGGTATTGGCAGATGGGCTGGGCTGCAAAGACGGTCACGTCAGCGTCCACTCTCAGTAGACTGGCGGTCTCCTTTTGCCGTGGAGCGTCAGCACTTATGTTAAAAATAATGGGTCTGTCACATGCCCAGGAGATGTGGGTACTGCTGAAGTCCAGCCCTTGAGCGGGGTGTTTCCCAGGCCCCCGTGCTCACCTGCTCCCTTCATCTTATCCCACTTGCTGGAGAGCAGCTGGTCTCAGAACAGCTGAGCATGTGTGGTCGGGTTTCTCAGGCTGTGTGGCAGCAGGTGGGAGGCTGGGTCTCGTCCCTTGAGAGACCTCACCTTTGCCCCGCTTGCTCCTTATCATTATGATATCCCGGGTCATGAGAGGGGATAGTTGGGGACTCACCAGGGGTCATGCCTGAGCCCTTGGGGTGGAGCAGAGAGGACAGTCAGCAGGTGCGCATCCACCTGTGTGTGGCCTTCTGAGCCATTCTGAGGAGGGGATGGTACAGCGGGAGCCCTGCCAACGTGTCAACAGGGTGGGAGGGGAGTGTGGATGACACAGCAACACAAAACCCATTCCTTGGCCAGGCCCCATCAAGGTCATGGCTGTGCTTTTAAACTCCTGGTTAGGGTCAGTGCAAAGGGCTGGGTTCAAGAAATAAGATCAAAAGTTCGTTTGGAGGGGGGGGCGCCTGGGTGGCTCAGTCGGTTAGGCGTCTGACTTCAGCCCAGGTCATGATCTCACGGTCCTCGCGATGGAGCCCGTGTCAGGCTCTGTGCTTGACAGCTTGGAGCCTGGAGCCTGCTTCGGATTCCGTGTCTTCCTCTCTCTCTGTTCTGCCTCCGTTCGCCCTCCCTCCTTTTCTCCAAAATAAATAAAAATTAATAAAAAAAAGTTTGGGGTCCACATGATGAGTGGGAATAAGGGTACCAGCCCTCCTGTCCTAGGCTCAGATGCCCACTCTCCCCTCCCCCGGCCCTGCAGCCCTTTGTCACCAGGCTGTGCATCGGCAGCATGCGGAGGGTGTGTGGATTAGAATGGCTACCCTGACCCTGCCACCGACCGCCTGTCATTTCCCAAGGCTTCCTGGGGCCCAGCATGGGGCTGAGTACAGCATTCTGCTTGCACCTCGCAACAACCCACCAGGTGGCTGCCTGCCTCCATTTTGCAGGTGAAGCAGGCAGTCAGATATGGTCCTTGAACTCCACCAGCCTGACTTCACCACAGAACCTATTCAGAATATTTATTTTGTCTGTTTTCATCACAGCTTTCCCGAAGAATGGGGCAAAAAAAGCAGCGACTGTTGGAGGCACGACGGCATCAGAGCCTGACAGACGGAGCCCAGATGCCTTCCACCATGGAGCCCTGCTTGGGGCCACCTGCAACCCTGGGACCCCAGCGCAGCATCTATTTTTCAAGCCCCAAAAGCCACTCTGCACAACTGGGATCTGAGTTTTTCGACCAGCCCGCAGTCCCTCTGGCTCGGGCATTTCTGGGACAGGTAATATAATGTGGCCAAGGAATAGGTGGAAAGTCTTCAGGCTGAGAACTCAGTTCCCTGGCACATTCAGCACTTCACAGGCCCTCCCTGGTTCCACTGCAGCCTGAGCTCCTCTGCTAGGTGCTCTGTTGACCTGAAAGCCCCGCCCCTCCAGTGATAGCCCCTGGAAACTGCCCCCTGCCCTGTCCTCAGCCGGCGCCCCTGTCCCCTCTGGGTGCCACCCCTGGCCCAGGGTACTGTCTGAGCCAACCACAAACAGCTCATCTTCCTGGCATAACGCCTACACTGACCCCCTCCTTATGGAGCTGACTACACCCAGGGCTGTGGTCCAGGCCAGGGGTGCTACAGGCACCTGTCTTGCTGCTCAGAAATGCCTATCAGAGCTAGGTGGGTGGGAGCTAAGTAGGGTGGTCCTTTGTGGGTTAGTCCAGGTGGAGGGGGCTACACAGGCTCTGGGGGTCCAGCTGTGTGGGAAGAGCATGGGGGCCCTGTGCCCCCCACGCTGCCCTGCACTAGGCTAAGCATTTCAGTCCAAGGGGGACTTGGGGAGGAGGAGGCAGAGAGATGGAGGCCTTACCAAGAAGACTTGGAAGTGTGTGGTTGCAGTGGTGCCGACTTTCCAACCCAGCCCGGGCCGGAGCTTGAGATTGCTGCTAGCTGTGGCCAGGACACTTAGTGAGCAGGGCCTGTGGTCCGGGGGGTTGAGCAGGACAGAGGGGACAGCAGGGGACCCGGCTGGACCTGGGTGCCCTGGTGCATCCTGAACCGGGGCGATGAGGCCCAGGCTGTGAGCTATCACAGTTGAGTCTCTGCTTCTTGCTGCTCTAAGCAGACTGACTGCCCACAGGTCTTGGTTCGGCGACTTGATGATGGCACAGAGCTCCGCGGCCGCATTGTGGAGACGGAGGCATACTTGGGGCCCGAGGATGCAGCTGCTCATTCGAGGGGTGGCCGGCAGACCCCCCGCAACCGTGGCATGTTCATGAAGCCAGGAACCCTGTACGTGTACATCATCTATGGCATGTACTTCTGCATGAACGTCTCCAGCCGAGGTGAGCAGAGTCCCCTTAGCTGGCAGCTGGGAGACCCATGGGAACACCAGGCTGGGGCAGGTACCTGAGCAAGGAGGTGTCAGTGCTAAACTAGGTTGCAGTTTTAGGAATCCTGGCTACACTGACAGGATGGTTATAGGTGCAGAGGCCCCCACGGGATAGAGGTCATGGGTTGACCTGAACACAGAGCAGACAGGTTCCACAAGGCCGCCCATGGTCACAGAGCTCAAAGGTGGCGTCCCCTGTGGCCCACAGTAGACCTGTGGGGGGCCGGTTGTGGGCAAACAAGGGTGAGATCAATTTGGGTTGAGTTGGGCTCAGGCCAGAGCCTTGCTAGAGGTCAGTTACAGGGTCTGAACCGGTCGTTCTCAACGTGCTACTGGCGTCTAGTGGGTGAGGCCAGGCATGATGCTGGATAGCTCACAGGCACACGTTGGCCCCCGTCACACAGAATCACCTGGCCGCAAACATCAGTAGTGCCCAGAGATGCTGGTCTAGAGCACCCAGGAGAACCCATTCACCCTGTGGGACCTGCTCTGGGGCGGCTTCTGTTCTTCCTGAGCAGGTGGCTGCTTTCTGGAAGGCCTGTGCTCTGAAGGAAGAACCCACGGCGTCGTCCTGCCAGAGGCACCACTGACCAGGAGCAGGGTCTGCCTGGCCCACCCTGACTAGCCAGTCTCAACATCTGTATGTGTGTTGAGCTTCCTCCCTGACCATCCCAAGAAAGCAAATGCTTGAGGAGACCACAGAGAGGCGTGGGGTCTGGTATGCTGTGTGTTACACGATTCCAGTGGCCTGGAAGTTGTGATTGCGCAGAGTGGACAGCTGGGCCTGTCCAGTGTCAGAGCCACATGGGCCCCAAGATTGGTCCCATGCCCGGCACAAAGCAGGTGTTGAGCGAAGCTGAGTGCCTGGAGATCAGAGGATGGTGGGGACCACCCCAGGGGGTCGGTCCTCTTACCACCCTGGAAAACTTATCTTGGTTGTCTGGCTTTTCTTTGGCAATAGAACCAACCCCCTCTTGTGAAGTGGGACTGAACTCGGACAAGGAGAGAGAATGAGTCTGGTGATGCCTGGGGCTATGGTCAACAAAGAAGGGGAGAAGCCTGGAATTTCTAGGATCGGGGGGCAGGGGGAGGGTGGGTACAGCGGACAGGGCAGACACGGGAGGTAGCACATTACTTTCTGGACACATGACCAAGATGCCCCGGAAACATCCAGGTCGGGGGGGGGGGGCAGGAAAGCACATGGGTGCAGACAGGGCCAAGGGTCATCCAGCTAGAGGGAGGAAGAGGGGAGGCCAAGGACATGGTCATTGCCTGCCTGCCATCAGTGTGGAGGTGCCACAGAAATGACCAGGAAGGCAGGTGGTATAGACAGAGGACTAGCGGGTGAGGACGGGTAGACTTGGTGGGAAGAGGTCATGCTTTCATCAGGACGTGGGACTCAGATGCATTCCAGGAAAGGGGTGTGGGGACAGAGGGATAGGCTCCTCCTTCACCGCATGTGCAGGGGCTCATTGAGACACTGAGGGACATGTGTGGCACCCACGGGGCACCCTGAGGATGGTGGGCTAAGAAGGGCCCAGGAAAAACAGAGGCTCAGGAACTTGAGGTTTCGCTTGCTCCCGACTATATTTTGAGATACTTTAAAAAATCGGTTGGTTAAGGGACATCTGGTCACAAAACCCCCAACACTTGCCAGGTGCTGGCTACAAGGGAGAGCATGGCTGCTGTAACCACTCAGGGCTCCCAGGTGCCGATGGGAAGAACCTTGTGGCCAAGGTCCAAGAGTGGAAACTGGCCTGGCCACCTGAGCCTCTTCAGACCCCCTGGTGGTGGGGGTGGGCCAAGTCGGTAGAACAGCCTTGCTGGAGGGTCAGGGCTCCTCTGGCCAGGGTCGTCACTGTCCCCAGCCATGCAGGACTGAAGGAATTTGGGGAGATGCATCTTCCCTAGTGAGCCCCTGGGCCCAGGGTATCCATTTGCGGTCTCCGGTCTCTAAAGTAGCTTCGCCTGAGCACCTTGCTGGCTGGAGCATTTGACTCTTGCTCTCAGGGTTGTGAGTTTTGAGTCCCACGTTGGATATAGAGATTACTTAAAAATTAAAAAAATAACAATAGGGGCGCCTGGGTGGCGCAGTCGGTTAAGCGTCCGACTTCAGCCAGGTCACGATCTCGCAGTCCGGGAGTTCGAGCCCCGCGTCAGGCTCTGGGCTGACGGCTCGGAGCCTGGAGCCTGTTTCCGATCCTGTGTCTCCCTCTCTCTCTGCCCCTCCCCCGTTCATGCTCTGTCTCTCTCTGTCCCAAATATAAAGAAACGTTGAAAAAAAAAATAAAATAACAATAAATCTTCAAGTAGCTTGGACTGCTACACGAAGAGCCAGGGCTGGAAGGAGGTGAGGGGCTATGTTGGCATCTCTTCCCACATGGTCTCCTGGGTCGCTGGGTGGGGCTCCCCCAACATCACGAGCACACTGGTGGCTGCTCTGAGCCAACCTTTCAGCTTGCCCAACGGATTCCAAGTAGGTGAGGTGAATGGGGCGCCCTGGGACCTGGTCAGAATCTGCCAGGTCTGAGGCTTCCTGCTTCCTGGTGGGTTGGCCATGCTCACAGACACCTGGCTCTCTGCGGTTTCCTTTGCCAGCCTCACAATTGCTGCCAATCACCTAGCCAGAGGAAGCCAGAGAGGAGGCGGACTACCAGCACCCTCCAGGGTTTTTTTGAGATCGGTTCTCCCTAGCTGGTGCTCAGGCATTCAGGCTGCATGGGGGAAGCCCCCACCTGGTGACACAGGTCGTGTGTGCAGGAGGTGGAGGTAGCCGAATCTGGACACCGAGTGCAGGGGCGCCCAGGAAGGCAGCTGCGTCACACCCATAGCGCTGCACGCACCCTGGGGTAAGGAGGGCAACCGGCCTGGGGAGACCTGGCTTTCTAGGCTGTCTGTCTGTCCCGCAGGGGATGGGGCATGCGTCCTGCTGCGAGCGCTGGAGCCCCTGGGGGGCCTGGAGACCATGCGGCAGCTTCGCAGCACCCTCCGCAAGGGTGCCGCGGGCCGAGCCCTCAGAGACCGTGAGCTGTGCAGCGGCCCCTCCAAGCTGTGCCAGGCCATGGCCATCGACAAGAGCTTCGACCAGCGGGACCTGGCCAAGGACGAGGCTGTGTGGCTGGAGCGCAGCCCCCCGGGCTCCAGGGAGCCGGCTGTGGTGGCAGCAGCCCGAGTGGGCATTGGCCAAGCAGGAGAGTGGGCCCAGAAGCCCCTGCGCTTCTACGTCCAGGGCAGCCCCTGGGTCAGTGTGGTAGACCGAGCGGCCGAACAGAACTCACAGGCCTGCTCGGACAAGGCTTTTTAATTGTTCAAAGACCCAATAAATGCTTTATGTCTGGAAGAGGGTACTGCTTCTATCTCTGCCAGAGCTCCTCTCGGTAGCCAGCATAAGCTTACAGTCCTCCTTCCTCCAGGACGGGACACTGGGGGCCGTGTGTGGGCAGGAGGCTGAACGCATCATCCCTCAGGCCTGCATGAGGGAGGGGAGCGTGTACCAGCGCAGACTCCCCTTGAGGATGAGGATCGGCCCGGGCCCTTGCGTATCATCAGGTGTCAGAGAGGGAGTGACAGCTTGGTCACGAGCCTGCTGGCGGTTAACACAAGGGCTGTGGTGAGGGCAGGGCTACTCGGGTGTTCCTGACCCCCGGAAGGGCAGAGGGGGTGGGGGCAGACGTGTTTCCGTGTATCCCCCAGGGTGACCAAGGGAAGGCAGCAGTGGAGGGGGTCGGGGGACGAGGACGGGGTTGGGAGGAGGGTCCGACAGAAACGCACAGCCCGAATTTGCGTGTGGGACGAACGCAGCAGGCCTCCCTCTGAGGCACGAGTCCTGCACACTGCCTCCAGCTGGAAGCCTCACCTCGGCTCAGATACTGAGGCTGCCTCCAGGACCAGACGAGACCGAGAACCTGGAGTACAGCAGGCCCAAGGCTGCCGCTGGACTGTAGTCCGGCTTCAGGCACCAGAGGGCTCCGCCCGGTGTAGGGGTGGGAAGCCCAGGGCTGGGGAGAGCCCAGCAGCCCCGCCGCGGGCAGCACCCTCTCTCCGCCTCCTCGTCTTCGGTCTGGTCTCAAGGGAGCAGTGCCTGGAACACCGCGATGACTGGGTCCTCGTGGGTGGTCACCACCAGCACACTGCGGAACTTGTCAAAGAGCATGAGCAGCTGGGAGCGCCGCGTGTTCTCATTGTACATGATCTCCTCCAGGTGGTGGCGGCCCCGGAAGTAGTGCAGGAGCCTGGGGGGTGGGGGAAGGACAGCATGAGCCCAGGTGGCCTTTGGCCTCACAGCCGCTGGTGGGGATCTCAGGGTCTCGGGGAGGCAGCCACCCACACCTCCATCCCCAGCAGAGGCAGGAAAGGTCCCCTCAAGTGGGTCCGTGAGGACACACGGCTATTCAAACCCTGGAGCCACGCGAGCCTGAGGGCCATTCCCGCCCTCGGCATCCTGACGTGGGTGGGGAAGTCCCATATGGCTACGGACCCAAAGAGGATCAGTGCTCTAGGGGGCCATCTGTGGCAGGGCTGGCGTAGGAGGCCTGGACGTGGCTGCTGCAAAGAGCTGCCTGGCATGCGGTTCGTGACTGGGGGTTTCCTCACCTCACCCAGAAAACCATACACCTGCAGAGCCCCCCACCCATCCCAAGTCAAAGCCGGGTCTGACAAAGTGTGTCACCAATGATGTAGGGAGGCCTGGAACCCCTTCCCCCCACTGCCTGGGCCAAGAGCTTTCCCACGTGGGGAAAATCCCTGCCAACCCCCGTGAGGAGGAGAACGTGCTGCTGCTTCCAGAGAGGTGACAAGAGACACCCAGGAAGTCCTGGAGGGACCCCAACGACAGAGGCACCCCAGGTGGGGACACCACAGTGCCTGAGACGCCACCTCAACCAGCAACTGCCATTTGTCATCGATGGATTTCAGTTGGGATTGTGTTGGTTACGTCCCCATCCACTTTCTGTTCTGACCCTAGAACTGAGCCAGCCCCACTGGTCACCGCGCCCCCACCTAGCAAACATGCGGAGGTCCTCGGGGTTCTGGGCTGCAGGCACGCTGAGGATGGCCGCCCGCTCGTGCTCCGAAAGGCTGGCCAGCAGGTTCTCCGTCATCCTCTTGTTCAGCGGGGAGTCCCCACTGGGGAGAAGCTCTGCACTGGAGTTGTCCATGCTGGGGCTCGTGAGGGTCATGTCGTCACTGCTGGCTGTGGGTGGCCATAGGTCAGGAAGCAGCCAACCCCCCACACATGCCCCTGTTGGCCACCTGTGCCCACCGGGAATCCACTGCCACGCCCTCTGGTCAGGGCCCC